AGTGGCCTAGTAGCAAGAAGCTGCAATGCAATCCCAACGGCACACAGTTCAAGGCTCAAGGCCACCACCTGCTCTGAGGGAGGATAGGCAATCTCCTCCTGTGTGATTAACTAACAACACACACACACACACACACACACACATACTTATGTTCATGTTTGCAGAGAGGGATCCCTGAGTTCGAGTCTTGTGGGGGAAAAAAATTGCAGGATTCCCTTTCCATCCAGCTCCTGGTTTCTACAACCATTACCGTTCTTGGGGCTGACTTGTGAGTTTAAATGTCAAGTTTATTCACTAACGAGAGTGGAGAGTTGAGGTTTTCCTGACAAAATGATCTTCATCCCCAAAGGACTGTGTTCCAAAGGGGGGCACACATTCAGATACAACCTGTGGAAATGTGAGGGCATGAGGGTAGGAGAAGGCATCATAGAAGGGGGAAAAGCTTAGTTCAATGTTTGAACAAGAAGTGAGGGGCAAGGGATAGAGAACCTGAAATCTGAAAAAGGAGGCTGTCAAGGTAGGACTTGGACTACAGGACTTTGAGTACCTGTAAACATGGTGTTGACTAGTACTCAAACAGGAACAGAACAAGAGAACACTACATAGCTTAAAATCAGGAAAAAGGTATCCATCAGAGTTGTATTCTTTCTCCATGTTTATTCAGTCTGTATGCTGAGCAAATAATTAAACTGGAGGTTGTGAAAAAGAATGACATCAGGATTGAAGGAAGACTCATCAGCAACTTGTGTTATTGCTTGCTGAAAGTGAAGAGAATTTGAAGCACTTGCTATGAAAGATCAAAGGCCCCAACCTTCAATATAGATTCTATCTCAGCATAAAAAAGAAACCAAACCAAAAATCCTCACAACTGGAAAAGCATCATGATAGATGGAGAAAAGATTGAAGTTGTCAAAATTTACTTTTACTATGATCCACAGTCAACACCCATGGTAGCGGGAGTCAAAAAATCAAAAGATGTTGCTTTGGGGAATTTACTGTCAAGGACCTCTCCAAAGTGCTAAAAACCAGTGATGTCAGTTTAAAGACTTAAGGTGCACTTGGCCCAAGCAATGGATTGGTTTGTTTTTTTTTCCCAACTGTTTCCTTTGCATCTCAAAATTGAATAAGGATGACAAAAGAAGACCTGATCCTTTTGAATGTGCTGTTGGAGAAAAGTACAGAGTATACCATCATAGATTTCCAAAAGAACAAACAGTTCTGTTTTGGAGGAAGTATGACAGTGCTCTGTAGAGGCAAGGATGTTCTTTAGAGACAAACTTCATCTCACATACTTTAGGCATGGTGTTAGACGGAACCAGTCCTATGGAAAAGATATCATGCTGGGAAAAGTAAAAGGGTCAGAGAAAGAGAAGTCTCTCAAGGAGATAAATTGATACAGTGACTACCCTAATGGGCTTGAACATGACAGATCATGAGGGTGGATGGAGTAGGATAGGGTGGAATTCAGATCTGTTGTTCACAGGGATTTCTCTCAGTCATAGTCAACTTGAGGGCAACTTAAAACAACAAAACCCCTGGTGTGCCTCCCCACCTCTCACTCTATCCTCCTAAAAGAGCTGTCTTCCTGGTAAATTCTTGCATCTTCTAGGCTAGTTGAGGCACGCTGACTGAGCAGTGAGTGGTTAAAGCTTGGCCACTAACCTAGAGGTTGGCAGCTTGAGCTTAGCCTGTGGCCCCACACAGAACATGTGACAATCTGCTTCTGTAAAGATGACAGCCTACGAAACCCTCTGAGGCACTTGTACTGTCACACCCCTGTCTGAGTTGGAACTGACTCAACAGCACAAGATGATGATATGTGACAGTTATGGGGAAGGCTGGGCGAAGAGATGGATCACTTCCTTGCTGATCTGTTCTTCTCCATACAGGCTGGGGAGGGGAGTTGAGCACTCAGGGGATTATGGCCACCTATTACATTAATCATTTAGTCCAATCAGAGAGAGAGACTCTGGAATTCATTGGCCTCCTCCCTCATTCCTTATGGGCATTTTCTGACATAGAGCAAAAGGATACTTCACTGTGACTGTGGGAGGTGGGATCTGAGTGGCCCTGATTGGAACACTTTGAGGTGATAATTGAGTGGCTAGCCCTGTGCCACGCCTAAGCTGGGCACTAGACAGGAATCATCTGAGACCCATCAGCACCACAGGGGGTTGGGCTATCCCAGGCTGAGCACTTCTCAGGTCCACTCCTGCTAAGAAGCCGGGGGGTGGGGGGAGGGGGGGGGCTTGAGCTGAGGGCCCTCTGCACATTCAGTCACCTGCATGCTCTTTATTGTGGGCACAGAGAATGCTGTCCTGGTCAGACTGGCAGGCTAGGATCGGTCATGGTCCTGGGGCAGGCCCTTGGTTGAAGATCATGGTGGTAAGGGGATCTGGTGCTAAGCAAGCCTGCTGACATGGCGCTTATGGGGACTTGGCTGCCACAGGCACCTAGAACAGAGATGGTGCAAGGAGAACCACACCCTGGACGTTGGATGGTCTGGAGTTGGATCTTGACCTCTCTGTTACCCTTGGTGTGCTGTCACGTAAGCATTTGGCTGCTGACTGAAGGGTGCACAGTTTGAACCCTCTACCCTCCCCATGTGAAAAAGATGAGTAATTTTGTCCCTGTAAAGATTCGTAACCTTGAAAACCCTCTAGGGCAGTTCCGTGCTGTCCTGTCCTGTCACTGTGATTCAGAATCGACCCAACAGCACTGGGTCGTACAGTTTGGCTTCCTCATCTATGACATCAGGGACAACACTAGTGCCTGTGTTCCTTCCATGCACTTTGGTGGCACGCATAGTTTGCAGTCAACTAGTACCCAAAAAAAAATGATATATCTAGTCCACTTGGCCATGACGGAAGGAAGAACTGGCCGCGGCTTTTGTAAGATTATAGCCATCGAAGACCCTGTGGAATAGTTCTACTCTTCAGCATGGAGTGTCTCCATAAGTCAGAATCAGCTCGGCAGCAGAGGATTTGGTGGTTTGCTTTTGCTTCTTCAGGTCTGCTGTGTGATGGCGTGGGTGGCTAAGTGGGGCATATGGAAGGGGCTGTTGTGGTATCTTGATAGCCCCCGCATAGTTATAAGTTGGCAGCATGTGTGTTAGTATCCTTGTTCCCAAAAGAATACTTGGTTAAAACTTAAAAACATGTATGCAAACACACACAGAGAAATATATGAGTGAGAATAAGAAAATGTGACCAAGCAAAGGATGCATTCATTACTGGAAAGACAGATATAAGGTCTTTGTGCTTGCTAATAGATTTAACCCTGCACTTTCTGAAAGCCTACTCAGAGATGAAACTGGGTTCAGTTATGAGTTCCCAAATGCCCCCTGAATAAAAAGAAATTGATTGTTAAGAAGCAGCAGCCACCCCTGCCCCTGAACCCTGAAGGCCATAGAAGTTGTGGGTACACATTGTGTTGCATACTTAGAGAAGATAAACTTCTAGGCTCCTCGTTGGCTTCTATGAGGTCCTGCTCGGAATTTGGCCAATTGAAAGGACAGCACCAACTTGACAGGAGGCAGTGATGCTACTCTAGGCAGACAAGGAGCCTGTCCTCCTCAGAAGGCAGGCAATTCTTCACTGTGCAGCAGGTCATCTTCTCAGTGGCAGCGGGACAGGCTGAAATGTCCTCCCTCCAGTAAGCCTGGGCTCTCCTTCCTGGAGCCCCTACTTCTACTTTGGACAAGCTGGGAAGCTGCTAACTGCTTGCAAGAAACAGCAGTGTTAGCCAGCTCTGTGAGTGAGGCAGTCCCGAGACAGCAGCCTTGCCTTCCTGGCATCTGCATCTCCACTGTGACTGTTTAATCTCCCTGCTCTAGTCTTGTCTTTGTGGCTCCCACATATGTTAGTTTTGGCTTATTGCCTTCTGTCACACAGCTCTGAGTCTCTCAGTTTTCCAACTCAGATTCCCAAGAGTAGGGTCTGATTTGTCTCAGCAACAAAGAAGAAGTCATTGCTGTTGAGTCGGGCTGACTCGTAACTGACCATCCAGTGGGTTTTCAGAGACTGTAGTTCACACTGGATGAGATTGCCCATCTTTCTCCTAAGGAGCAGCTGATGGATTCAAACTGTCTGCCTTTGGGTTGGCAGCACTACTCCTTACATAATACTAGGCCACTGGAGCTCTTTTTAAGTCAATCACTGTCTCCACTGTCTTTGAGGCAGGTACCACCCTGGTGTAAGGGGGGAAAGCTGGTGGTCTACACTATGTGCCGCCCCTAGTCCTTACAGGAGACATGTCCTTAGCAGTGCGCTCTTCAGTGCCTACCAAGTACACTGTGTGCTTTGTTGAGTATTCCTGGTTCTTGACAGCATCCTGACTTCACTTGTTTGGGGCATTTCCAGGGTAGATATGAGTTCCCAGTGACTGCCCCGGCCCGTACGCATCCTGATCCACATAATGGGACTGTGAAGGCAGCCACTTCCCACGGTACCTGCTCAGCTTTTGCTCTGTGGATGATGGATAACGACAGACCCTCTGACCACCCGGAATCCATGGAATTTCTCAACTTCTGTCTGGGGGACCACCTGCAGTCCCCACGAGCACCAAGCAACCAACCGGAACCTCCTGGGCTTTGTGGGCAACAGACCTGGGCCTTTGGTCTTACCGATTCCTGGAGGCAAGATGGCCTCAGGGTCGCCAACTCAGAACCCTCACATCTGGACAGCTACTCTTTGCAAGAGGGACAGAGGCAGAGAACACCACCTCCAGAGTCACCTGGGGACAGCCATCATCTGGGGACCCCACAGCTGAGCCAAGGTACTTCCGCCCAGGTCATGTTCTGGGCCGGCATCTTGCAGGCCCAGATGTGTGTCCTGGACCTGGAGGAGGAGCTGGAGAAGACCGAAGGGCTGAAAGCTGAGCTGAGATGCTGTGTCCCCCCAGCCCCTGTGGCCCTCCCCACCTTCCCTGCCAACCCGGCCAGTCCCAGGGACTCAGGCTGCCACCTACAGTCACCACACATGGAGGAAGACACAGGGGAAGACGGCAGTGAGCCGGAGGCAGAGAGCCAGGGGTGGCCGAGGGAGCGAACACCGAGCTCCTCTTCAGAGTGGGGTACTGAGGAGGAGAGTCTGTTCTTTGACAATCCCCTCTTCCTGGAAAGCCCTTGCTCTGAGACCGGTGCTTCCAGACAGCACTTTTCCTGGACGGTACCAGACACCCTTGAAGATGGGAGCACTGCGGCCAAGAGCCCACAGGCCAGGGGTCCTTCTCTCCCAGGAGCTGGAGTTCCTTGGGAACTAGGAAATGAGGATCTGGAGGACGACACAGCTGATTCCAGTGGGCACATCACTCCTCCGTTCCCTGTGCCTGTCTACAAAGTGCATTCCCTCTCCTGGATCACAGAGGGGGCTACCAAGGGGGCTGGCACAGCACTTCCCAGTCATATGGAGAGTGAGGTAAGGCAGATCCTGGGGACCCAGCCAGGCTGTGCAAGGCAGATGTGGAGGTGTTCACACCCAGATCGCAGGTTCAGATGCTATGGTCTTTTGGGATTCTGGGGTGATCAGCAGAAAAGATAGGCTCATATGGCCTTCAGAAGTTTAGGAAATAATTACTAATGTCCCAGGTTACCTTGGGGGCTCAGGTGACCTAGGCTGTAGGGGAATTGCACTGCTAAGCCAAAGGCCTTGGCTCTCTGGTGATTCCAGGGGAGAAAGATGAACAATCTCTTCCCTTGCTGTTTACAGTCTCAAAATCCTCTGGAGGGTCAGCTGGGAGTCTTGACAGCAATGAGTTGGAGTATGAATAGTTTGTATTACCTGACTTTGACAGCATATGAGTTCATCATTGTCTCGTATCTAGCCAACTCCATAAGGCTACATTTAAAAACCCACAGCTCCTGTTCAGGGCTGCTCAGATTCTGCCCCTTCTACCTCACGGCATTTTCAGCTGTACCAGAGCAGGGGTCAGCCTGAACGGATGACCTCTTCTTCCCCTTGTTGGGAGATGTCTATTTTAAGAGTTCTGCCCTCTCTTTCTTGAGACACTTCAGCATTTTGTTACTTTCAGCTCACCATCTCACTCCCCCACCCTGCACGAGGAGATCAGGCTCATAAAAAAATGACAGGGATCCTTCATATCAACCAGTAACGGAGACAACAGTTTTCCCAGAGAGGCCTCTGCTTCAGATATAAGTCAGCACGAAAGGGCAGGAGGCCCTCTCATCTCCCTAATTCCACAGAACAATGGAGAAAAGAACTTCAGACCTGAACCCTGAGATCAGAGAAGCTCCAAAACCATAGGCCAGCCACGAGTCAAGGGGCCATTGCAGTTTCCTGTGGAGGTGCATTCTCTCAGGACCTTCTTGCCCTAAAGGCGCCTCAGAGGCCTGGGAACACTATTTTTAAAGCTGGACATTAGCTTAAGCTCAAGGCTGGCAGTGTCTGACCAGTTCCTGGGTGCTACTGCCTCCCTATGACAAACAGGCTTTCCTCGGCATGTGGCTAGGGGACAGAGAGCCACAGGGGTGACTTCTGGAGGAAAGAGGGTGAGGCAGAGAAGACTTGGGCCTTTGGGATGTGGGGACAATTCTTTGGTCAAACCTCAGTCAATGTTTCCTCCTTTCCTAAGGATTCTTCAAGGGCAATGCTTGGTTCTGCCCCACCTGCAGCACCTTGTGTGGATGAAGCATTGACCTGGGAGTCAGCATCTCTCCCTACCACTGCCACTCACGCTGTGAAACATTGGGCAAGTCCTTTCCTTCCCCTCTTTGGGTGTCACCCTTACCATCTCTACAGGCATCTGCTGGCTGCCAGGACCTGGCACCAATATTGTCCTGATGGAGGGCTTCTCATAAGCAGGACTCCTTTTCTGACTGAGGCTCCAGGCTGGTGCCAGGGGCCTCTGGGCAGGAGAAGGGTGAGGCTTTCAGGGTTCCCCCTCCTTAGCCTTCCCCTTCCCTCCTTTCTTACACCCTGCCTGGCCTTGCCCCTTCACCTCTCAGGGACTCCAGAAAACTCCTCTACATTTCTCCACAGATCACTCCCTGCCCTGAAAGCTGTCAGACAGAGGGTTCTTCCTGGCCCTCTGTGCCGCTCAGCTGCCAGGAGAGAGGTGAGACCTAAACTGAAGGAAGGAGACTTGGTCTGCTGGGAGATCTGGAATGGGGACAGATGTAATTCTCGGCCCCACAGTTGTCATCATAAGAGGCCTCATTGTATTATCCTGGAGCCAATTAGACTTTGGGGAAGTCGTGCCTCTGGCTCTGTGAGTTCATCTTATATTCAAAGTTCAGCAAAAGTCCGCAGTGCTGGAGTAGTGGGGACTCTCTGCCTGCTGCCTCTGCATGTGGGCAAGGTCACTACCTGAGGCACTGCCCACTTCCAGAGGAGGAGCCCCAGGGAGGAAGCAGCACAGACAGTTTTCCTGGCTCTGCCACACCCCTCAACCATAACAGGCCTCTGTCCTTGTGTCAGCCTTACCCAATTTCCTCCCTCAGGTGAGAGTGATGCTGAGCAGGGTTCTGCCACCTGCACATTGGACCCTGGCTCTTGGGGGAGCCCATCTTCTCCAGAGCCCAGCAGCCCGGAATCTGCGAGCAGAGGGCCTGGCCCCTGGCCCACCCCTGTGTCCTCCCAGGAGGGGAGCCCAAAGCCTCCTCGCCACCATTCAGACAGTACTTTACCCAAGTGGACACTTGATGCTTCACACCTGTCAGCTTTAGAGGCAGATAGGGCAGAGTCAGATTCCTTAGAGAAAGAAGAGGCAGTGGGGACCCCAAGTCCAAGGGAAGAAGTAAAGAGTGAAGACACAGTCAAAACTGAAGAGGCCAGTTCTGCCCAGCTGGACACTCACGCAACTTCTCCAGAAGGGTAAGTGTCAGCATGACTGGCTCTCTCGTGCCCTAGTTGTGGATGCATTTAACAATTCACTGATCTGGATAGAGAAAGAGGAATGCGTACTGGGATTAACTAAGATTTACCAAGCAGGAGTCCCTGGTTGGTGCAGATGACTAGTGCTTGATTTAGCTTGGTGGTTTACACCTACCCAGCGGTACCTTAGAAGAAGTCCTAGTGTTCTATCTCCAAAAGGTTACAGCTTTGAAAACGTGACAGGGCGGTTTTACCCTGGATACATGGGTGGTAATGAGACAGAACTGACTTGATGGAGACCAACCACAACATTTACCAAGTCAGGATTATTTGACTGGGCATCAGAGTCTTCTCAAAAAGACTGGAGGGTCTGAAAAGACAAGAAATGACAGTGCAGACAGTCCTACATGTGGATGCCCTTTTGGATTGTGCCAAGGTCAGGTCATGTGAGAGGTCTCCGAAAGAGGGAGAGGACATGCTGAGGGAGCTTGAGCAAGGCCGTGTGTCTGGGCAGATGGCAGTGTGTCAGGCAGGCTTGGGGCGGGGGAGTGGAAAGGCAGACAGAGATTGTGAGGTAATGCTTACAGTCTACTTTAAAGTAAGGACGTGTCTGGGTGACATTCCCCAGGAACCCAGGACCAGATGCTGGCAGGGATCTCAGGAGCACTGATAGGAAAATTCTATCAATTTGAATTTGAAATTTTATCAATTGAATCAAGGGAATGACCCTGGACTTCATAACAGGACTGAATGATCCTGGACTGGTAGCCAGAGACAGGAATAAGCCAACTGGCAAAGCAAACTTGATTTCTTCCTGCCCTAGGTTATTGCATCAAGACTCACCCCAGAAGTCACTGGGAACTCACTCATTGCCACTAAGTTGGAACCGACTTACATCTGAACCTCCAGTGGGTTTTTGGAGGCTGTAAATTGGGCAGGAGGAGATTGCCTGTCTTCTGTCCACAGAGCTGAATGTGGATTCAAATCCAGAGAGGCTTTGCCTGTGGGTTGTGTAACTCCCTACAGGGAAAAGGGCTTTATGATCTGGTTGGAGAGGACTGGGAGGAACCTGGGATGGTTGAGGTCATGTCTGAAAGGTGCAATACTTGCAGGGTTAATCCCTCCCTGTAGGTAGGCTTCTTATCCTTGGGCGATGGTAGCCCTACAGCAGTCAGCACCAGAAACCAAGAAGCCACTTCCTTGTGGCACAACTGGGAGCTTCACCAAACACTGTCCACACTGGGAAACCATTATGGTATTTGATACTCCAATGGCACAAGGCTCAGCATCACAGCAAACTCAGATTACCTCAGTACAGCAAATTGGCAAAGAGTGATGATGTACAAAGTAGAAGAATGTTCCTCCAAGTATAACAACCCTAGTCTTATTTAGCAGTGGTTACGTGTTGTCAGGTCGAATATGACTCATTGCATCCCTATGAACAAAATACCTGAACTCTGTTCTATAATTAACATCATTTCTGTATGTTTCTAGAGTTTCCAGAGGAAACTGGTTTGGGAAGTGGATTCCACTCCTGCTTCCAAACCTGAATCAATCTGGAAGCTCCTTCAAACACTGTACAAGATGGGTAACCATTATGGTATTTGACATGACTATAGCACAATATTCAGCATCACAGCATGCCGCGTTCCAGCCCCGCCAGCTGAATAAAGGCCACACCCTCTTCCTCCCCACAACCCCTTATATACCCTTAGCCTAGATAGCTTCTAACCTAATTCCTATTTCCTATCTTACTTTACTAATCTAACTATTCCTATTGGCTCTTAATTCTCTATTCTTATTGGTCTATAGCTAACACTTAATCTTATCTTATTGGCTAATTCTTAGCTCTGTTTCTCCAATCAGAATTTGCCACACTCTTTCTGCGTTATGGGCGATGGCAAGTAAGGATTCTTGGCACGTCAGCACCTGCGGCTCCCGCAGTTCCCCTTTTTTGTTTTAACTTAGGCAACACGATAGAAGTTAGACAATGAGGTTTACAGTGATGTTTTTTAGGCACACTTCTTTACCATACCTATGGTCCCGAGCTTTTGCCGTCTATGGATCGGCACAGGGCGACCAGTAGGATAACAGAAAGGGGCCAAGGCCGGTGCCTGTTAGACCAACCCTGGTGCTTGCCCTGTCCGTTCCCTTCCCTCTGATAATACAATCTATCAGGTGGGGGAACGTGACAGCCAGGAAATGGGCCGTCGCTGGCAGCCGCCTCATGAGATTCTCCTAGTAGTTGCCTTGGTACTGTAGGTTGCGGGGGCAGGAGTTGAGAGAGTATGAAATTCATCAATCTTCATAAACTTCTTAAATATATACAAACATAGAATTTACTCAACTCAAAATTATAATTGCCCTAGCAGTTATCTTCATTTTAACATACTAAGCCAGATTTCCTTAATAGATTCTTCCTTATCTGCACATAATTGACATACTACAAAAGCATGTTTAGCTTCCTGTCTCGCTAGTTTACATAAGCAGCAAATACAAAGACAGAGAGCAAGAACAGAGTATGGCTAAAGCTCCTACTCCACTCCAAGTTTGAAACATCGTCATTAGGGATTTCAACAGTTCATCTCCAGTGATAGCTGGCACTCTGGTTTCATTGACTTGTAGTATCTGGAAGGTCAGGTTCTGCATGAATTGCTGGAATTCTATATCCCATCCTCTGGTCATATACCGATTCAGTTCTCGTAGGCTGGAAGACATATTCTTTACATGACCATTAGTGACACAAATATTAGGATAAGTTGGACTGCAAGGTACTGACTGTAGCATCCATAAAAGATCTACCTGTTCTTGCAGCAAGGCAGTCTGCATATTTAAATTAATAATTCCTACTTTAATATGATTATTAAGTTCGTTTTGCAGGGAGAGAGCTTCGGCAACCTCTCCCGCCAATTTATCAACGGTGGCAGCAGTGGATGTTTGAGATGCCACTGCAATCCCCGCCGCTGTTGCCGCTGCAATAGATGCAGCAACAGCAGTTACAACTGCAGCGGTGATACCGAAATCTCGCTTGTGTCGGGTATGAAGTATGACAGGGGAATGAGCAACTTGAATGACAGGAAAGGCGACAGCAGCAGGGACACGAATTATAATCACTAGAGTAAAATTCAAAATACAAGATGATAATTTGCATGATGCCATACTGCAATTTAGTATTAATGGATTCTCAATAGTCTCGTTGATAGAAAGGAAAAAGAAGGGTGGCTGTAAACAAAAGGGATTTTTCAAGGTGTGATTTTTTTGTGGTGTTAAAATCAACATAACCAAAATACAGTATTCCTTTTGTACCTGGAGGATCTCCGCCTCCACCTATACTGGGTGGAGGTGGGGCACCAGCCACCACAGCTTCAGTCCTAGTACCATAAATTAAATTTCCGGTACTAAGAATAGTAGGTGTAATCTCTAAACAAGCTTTACTTCCACATAAGCTGGGTGCACTTACGAGTAGTTCAGTATTCAATAACATGTTAGGGGTATATAATGGACTTGAGTCCAATTATCAGGTGGTAATGTATCATTAGGCTTAGGTCCGGAAAGGCAGACGTGGTTATTAAGTTTATAACAGTAGTATGTAGATCTACAGTGAGCCCATGCCGGGGGATAAGGAGCTAATTTAGTTGAAAAACAAGGCATTCTAGTATGTTTATCAGTGGTAGAATTCTGAGTAGGGACAAATGGGTACCACATATTTTGTACTCTCATAACATTATTGTAATCCAAATCAACATTCAATATAGAATATTTTTTAAGCTAAACACATTCTGATGAACTCATATATACACTAGAAAAGCAGACAGCTTTGGTAAGATTAAAATTTATAGTAACATTCGCCATATCCCATTGAGGTGGCATAGCGGGGAGACGTAAAGATACATTGCTAGTTAATAATGGTGGTAAGAAAGGGGCATCCCAAGTAACGGATATTAATGTAGGATAGTTTCTGATTATAGCCCACTGGGAATCAGGAGTACTACTTATCTGCTTCCAGCATATTGGTGTTATCAGTATTGTCAGGACTGTCCACGTCTTTGTCCACATCTTCAGTTTCACTTTGGGTGAATCGCACTAGTCTTTCTGGCACCCAGATTGGTACTTCCTCGTCCTGTGGAAAGATACAGACCGCTCCCCTTGACCATGTTAACACTGGATCTGGGCCTTTCCATATTCCTGAACATATATCTTTCCATTTTGCTTTAATAACTCTATGAGATACAGGGTATGCATGTCGTTCAGCAGCTGTTTTTCCATCTTTATCCAAATTTAAGAAATTAATAGTAAATAAGGCTAAAGAAATCCTATCCTTTAATGGAAAGCTATTCCCTATTCTCCCTTTTTGTTTTTCAAGAAAACGCTTTATTGTTTTATGCATCCTTTCCACTATCCCTTGTCCTTGGGGATTATATGGTATACCATGTTTAATACTGACTCTCATTTGTGTACAGAATGACTCAAATTTTTTGGAAGTATACCCTGGGGCATTATCTGTTTTTACAGTGGTTGGTTTTCCCCATTGACTCCAGGCCAGTAGGCAATGAGATATAATATGTGAGGCACTTTCCCCTGCATGTAGAGAGGCAAAAACGATCCCTGAACACGTATCAACAGATACATGAAGATATTTTGATCTTCCCCCTTCGGGAAGGTGAGTAACGTCCATTTGCCAAATGGATAGGGGCCTTAGCCCTCTGGGATTAACTCCAATAGGTTGGGAAGGAATATACTGAGCACATGTGGTACAATCAATTATAATTTTGTGAGCTAGATCTTTAGTGATAGAGAATTTTTTACGCAAAGTTTGGGAGTTGACATGATATAATTTGTGGAAGTCTTTAGCTTGCTCTAAAGCCGAGAATATGAATAAAGATTTTGTGGATAGGTCTGCAAAGCTATTGCCTTCAGAAATAGGCCCTGGCAACAAGGAATGTGATCTTACGTGAGTGATATAAAATGGATTATGTCTGCCTCGAAGTAAATCTCGAAGCTCTA